GGCTTCCCCCAAACATTGATTGCCCCCGCGTCGGCCAACTGGTACAACCCTGACGCCGTCTACAACCGACTGGGCGTCTATGGCCAAAACGAAAGTTCCTTTCGTGGCCTTGACCGCCTTTGTGGCGGCGATCCGCCCAAACATTTGGGACAGTTTGTCCATTACCCAGCAGGTCCGAACACCCATCAAACCAAGTTTCGCACATCCACCACCACGAAACTCCACGTGCATCGTCGGGGCCTGGATTCCTCGCGATACTTGCCTCCTGATCCATCAGTGGTTGTGGCAATGGAGCGGGTCGGCCCAATCTTGTCATCACCCGCCGTGCTCCTCCTGCAATTCTGGAGCCTTGGACCGGGAATGAAGCGTGATGGGGGCACCACTAACACAGGCGCAGTGCCTCTGAGGCAAAAGCGCGGCCAACCTTGTTGGCCCTCTCGGGCCTCCTCCAACAGTTCCCGATGGAGGCCCTCCAGGCCTTCGTTCCCACGACGCCCCCAAATATGGTGGAAGAGGGTCTCCTGTGGGGCTCCACGCCTAGGGCACTTGGCTGTGGTCCAGGGTGGCCTGCACGGCGGGTGAACCCCCGCGGTCTCCTGTAAGTCCTCTGGACAACTGCCTGCTGGCTCTTCCGAAGGGCCCTGCTCGTCCTCCTGGGCATGCCTGGCCAAATCCATGCAATCAAAATCGTCATCGTCCTCCTCATCTTGACCGCCGACTCTGCCGTGCGCCTGCGGTTCCTCCAAAGGTGGGGCTGGCGCCTGTGCGGCGGCGGCTTGGTCAGATGGGGCTGGAGGGGATCGTGCTGCTTCTTTGCCGACGCGCCGACAGGCAGGCCACAGATCTCCTGCCATGATCATTGTGAACAAACCAGCCGAATCGTAAAACCTTCCTTTTTTCACGGTGGCCATTCGTTGGCGGTTGACTGTGACGTCGGGGCCATGCTTCAGACCTTTGCCTTTAACCCGCGCCGCTGCTAGCTTCCAAGCCCGTTGGCCAAGGGCTGCGTACAACACGTGCTCAGACATCATTTGTGGATCAACGGTTTCCGTATCGAACTGCACGTCACCAGGATCCTGCCACCGAGTTGGAGAGCATTGCTTCCATCCTAAATCAAAAAGCGCGGCCACTATAGCCGACAGAGTCCCTTGGCTTTCTCCAGCGCCAAGCTGACGACAAATGTTCTCCAAGCGAAAAAAACGGTCGGTGGGTCGGTAAGAGCATCGGCGGGAGGCCAATCCACCCGTCCTGCCAAGAGCCATCGGGTCCTGGTGCGCCGTTGGGAAAGCCATCCGAATCGTCGTCGTCGCGCAACCTCCTTCCTTACGGCCAACCATTCCCGAGATCGGCGCCCTCATTTTCAGCAGGGTCGAAAGGGGTACCCCTGGGCTTCGACCCCTCATGCACTCTGGGGAACCAAACCAGTTATCATAAGAGATTTAGCTGCCCTGGAGGTCTTAACAATACGCCGAATTAGTGACCCCTGCGAGTGCTGTCTTGGAGCCGCTTCTGTGTACTCTTTACATGTCGGCGATGAGAGGTGCCGTCGATGCCGTAGTCCTTGACAAGCTGGGAACGCTTTAGCTGAACAGTGTGGCCTAGATCGCGCTGGATCTCTTCTGCAACCACGGGCGGGTTGCTGACTATGACGCCGCTTGCGCTCGAGATCCTGAGGCTGTCTAGCAATCGCATGGACGGCGGCAACTGTCCTGTCTACCACTACTGACTCCTTGCCAACTGTAAACTGGCTGCAGTTCTCTTTCTCCTCCTCCCCTGTTCCTCCTCCTCCTCCTCCTCCTCCTCTTCTCCTCCTCCTCCTCCTCCTCCTCCTCTTCTCCTCCTCCTCCTCCTCCTCCTCCTCCTCCTCCTCCTCCTCCTCCTCCTCCTCCTCCTCCTCCCTCCTCTCCTCTCTGCTCCTCTTGTTCCTCATCGTCCTCCTCATCGGCTTTCCTCCTCCGCCGTCCCCTCCCGAAAAGGAGGCCCGAATGAACGAACGACCACCACTGCGGACAAACGCCAGTGCCTCGCCGAGACCAGGTGGGCGAGGCCGTCGCCCCTGATTGTGCTGACTGCGTGTGTCGCGCTAAACCAGGGGGTCTTCAACTCGTGTGGTGGAACATAGTGCAATGACCCCGAAATCCGAGAAGACCTCGATTTGCGGTCGGTGACCGCTCTGAGAACCCTTGGGGCCCCTGTCGCCAAACCGTTTTCGGAGAAAGGCCCGGATCCCAATACCGTGGTGTGATCCCGAATCCACACTGACTCACCACACGTGTGGTCACTCCATCGTATGGGCCCCCCAAACACACAAACAACAAGTTGCCATAGGGCGAAGAGGCCCAGGGTGCGCTGCGGAACCCCCGATACGCCCCCGATGAGGCGCGACGGTGAAGGCCCGGCGAGGGTTCCAGCAATGCCCCGACAAAGCCCCGATGTTGCCCAGCAAAAAGCGCGGCACTTCGGATCTTCACCCCTCCTGCGAGAGACGGCATCGGACAATGACAGCTTGTGATTAACAAATCCGCGGGGGGCGCGCGTTTAAACACATAGTTTCCCTGCTCGGGCGGATCGCGGGGTGGCGCCCGCCAGATTGAAAATCGACGGCGGCGGCGCCAGTGATTAGCGCTGACGCCCGGACGCCAGCGAAAAGGCGACAGAAACAGCGTTGACAGAGCGAAGGGGGGGGCGGGAGAGAAAGGCGGCAGAAGCAGAGACCGTGAGCCAAGGCGACAACTGCTCGAAATGAAAAAGAACTGTTGTCGGCGCTCGGCCCCGCACTTTCCGTGCTGGTTTTTGTCGAACCGATGCGCCTCTATTGCCCTGGCCGCAGCCAAGGGGGCGCCGGCTGCCTCGCGGGCCCGCGAGCAAAGCGCGCTGGACGAAAAAGGGGCGTGGCCAATCGGGGATTTGCCAAGCAGCTGACGTTGCTGATTTTCCGAGCGCCTCCTGGCGCCGAGAGCGGCCATGCATCGAGGAGTGACCCTTCGGCGGGGCGATCGAAACCAGTTGCGCGCAGCAGGTTTCGCACCCCCCCTTGTCCTTCCCAACCTGTCGTTCGACCCGGGGCGCGCCGTCCTCCTCCCCGTCTGCCGCGGTATGTCCGGAGTCGTCGACAGCGACGGCGGCAGGCCCGGTGTAGCCGACGACGACGACGACGACGACGAAAATGACGACGATGACGACGAGGACGAAGAGGACGGGGGCGGGGACGAGGACGTGGAGGACGGACGGCGGATGCCGCGTGGAAGGGGAGGTTGCTGCGCGGGCCCGCTGTAGTCGACGACGGCGACGATGACGACGATGATGCTGGTGATGGCGGCGACGACGACGACGACGACGCATTGCGGATGCCCTATGAGGGGGGGGGGGTACTGCGCAGGCCCGCTGCAGTCGACGGCGACGACGACGACGACGAGGACGAGGACGACAACGACGATGATGACGACGACGACAACGCATTGCGGATGCCGCGTGGGGGACGGGGGGTGCTGCGTAGGCCCCCCGCTGCAATCGACGACGACGACGACGCCGACGACGACGAAGACGACAACGCACTGCGGATGCCGCGTTGGGGGTGGGGTGCTTCGGAGGCCCTCCGATTCAGTCGACGACCACAACGACGATGACGACGACGACGAGGACGACGACGACGGACGACGTCGACGACGACAGCGACAGCGACAGCGACAGCGACGACGATGACGACAACGCACTGCGGATGCCCTAAGCAGGGGGGGGTGTTGCGTAGGCCTGCTGTAGTCGACGACGACGACGACGACGAGGACGAGGACGACCACGACGACGACGCTTGACGGGGGGAAAAGTCCGCCTCGGATGTATACGACCCCTATGACAACTTTTATACGAAAGGCAACGGTTTTGAGGCTGTCATGCAGGGGGTACACGATCCCTTCGGTGGTACCCGCCACGACCCCCTGGTGCGCGTGAGTGAAAAAATGTTTCGCGCCCCGCGGGTTGTATTCATCATCCTTGGGGGGGCCTCATTTGGTAATCACAAGCTGACATGAGATCATCTGGTTTCGAACGTTTAAAGGCCCCCCAGAGATAGGATGGGTCTCAGAGTTTCACAAGCCCCCTCCCAGATGGGATGAGGGGGGGGCGACGTCGCCAACGCCGACTCCGACGACGACGCCGACGACACCGACGACGACGACGCCGACGCCGACGCCATTGACGCCGACGCCATTGACGCCGACGCCGACGACGCCGACGACGGCCGACGACGACGACTACTATCACCACGCCCGTGGCGCTCGCCCCACCTCGCAGAGGGGACCGCAGGGTCGCCCGCGAGCCCGATTCGATCAGGATCGCGTCCGCGAGCGAGTTTCGCACTCTCGGGTGCGCCGCAGGGGGGGGGGCAGGAAGAGAGGGGGGCCATCGCATCATGGCCTGAGGCATGTGCGCCGACGACGGGGAGGCCAGGGAGCGTGTCGAAAGAAGAGATTTCATGGCCCCGGCCAGGATATCGCCCCCCCTAGGTCTTCCAACCCCTGTCGGACTCTCCCAAGAGCAAGCTCCGCACTCCTTATTCCCCCTGCTTCTGCACCCTCCGCGCCCGCCTCTGATCCCTCTCCTCCCTCGCCCATCTCGCCCCCTCCCAATCCCACTCCCCCCATCCCCCAAATTAGGGGAGGACCAACTCACGGGGGGGAAACGCAGAGCGGGAATTGACGATGCATCGCCGATAGATCGGCGACAGGCTCCCGATAGCGACACCGCACGGTCCTGGGTGGGGTGGGGTATCGGACCCCCATCGGTGATGAATTGGCGATGGGGGCTCGATGCGTCCTCCCTGACCCAATGCCCCTCCCCTACCGTTGCCCCTGTGCCAAGATGCCCGGTCATTCATTTGTCCATCGCCGAATGTTCGAGCCTTCGCCTCCTGTGCGGACGACCCCCGAGACGGGATGCGACTCTTCGAACCACTGCAGCGACTGGCGGCAGCTCGCCGGACACCGTGTCCGTGGCAGCAAGCGTCACCGACGGCACAGGATCTCCTGCTGATCGAGGGCTCGCTCCCACTCGTCTTTCAGGGGTACCGCACCCCTGTGCAAGAACATTGCCTTCACGATCGCTCTGCTCCCGGTCGTGGAGGGGCGTACCATGTGAACTGGCCCCCCCGCGCGAACAATCAGGGCAGAATTCGGCTCCGTCCACACTTGCTGAGTGCACCCTCGAAGCACGTCCAGATGGCCTGGGGCCCAACATGTCACAGAGTCCGACGTGTTCTCCACGGTATAGACCAACTCCAACTGCGGCGGGTCCGCGATCGCTGTGTCCGAGTGCCACAGCATCGATGCCCCCACTGGGTACTCCCGGTACTCGACTCGGAAGGGAATCGCCGGCTGCGCGGGCTGGTCAACAGCAAATTCCCGAATCCTGGACTCGACCTCGCCACCCCGGAATATCCGCTCGGCAGCACCCGCCTCCGGAGCAGCTACCGCCCGCCGCCCCGCCGCGCAGCTCGGCCCCTCGCTCGCCAGGCTGCCCCGGGACGCGGCAAACTCCCGACGGACCGCCTGGAAATCGCCAGGTGCCAAGAAATTCGGAACATACACCAGTCCCTCGTCAGAAACCTGCTGGCTTCTGGCAACCGCGAGGGGCAACGACCTGGGGGGACTGACTCAGGGGGGAAGGAGCCATCGAGCTGGAATCGGCGATACGTCGCCGATAGATCTGAGGGGCAACGATAGGGGGGTACTGGCATAGGGGGGATGCATCGACCTGGAATCGGCGATACATCGTCGATAGATCGGCGATCGGCCTCCGATCGTGACTCCGCACCTTCCTGGGCAGGCTGGGGCTACCGGGCCTCTATCGGCGATCAGTGGGCAATTGGGGGTCGGTGCAGCCCCTCCTACAATCAAAACTTTATTAAGGACGGGTGGTAAGGACGCAAGACCCTTGGAGGCCGAAGCTGGACTTTTGGGGCGGGGGGCGGCCAGTGAAAACGGCGAAGGACGGGCCGCAGAGGCAGGGACTCGAGGGTACCCTAGAGGAAGGCACGCGCCCTGACTAGGCGCGTTGACTCTATGCCTACCCCCCCCCCCCCTGTCGTTGCCCCGGGAGACCTCCCGCGGCAGCAGAGCTCCCCACTCCCGGGCGGGGTGGGCTGCGGAGCCCCCCTTCGGCGACACGTGGGCCATCGGGGCTCGAGGCGTCCCTCCCCCCACTCCCAGGGCCTATCCCCCCCCTGACGCTGCCCCTGACACCGTCCTGGCCCGAGCGCGCGCGACCACGCGAAGCCCCAGCCACGCCCACCCCGGAAGCGCCGGGACTCTTGTCTAGAAGGAGAAAGGGCGGCATCAGCACAAACTTTCGAGGGCCCGCGCGGATTTCCTGGATCTGCGCCGGGCCCTCCTCCCTCGCGCGCTCCGCGCGTCAGGGGCGGCGCCGCAGGCGCTGCCAGGGTGGCCCAGCGCCGATCATAAAAGTAGGTCGGGCATGTCCTCTTACAGGCGGATTTCGAAGACGAGTAAAAATCCGCCGACCCTGTCGGCGTGTGGACCCCCTGTCGGCGTGCGCTCAGTCAACGCATCCGTTGTCCTCTTTCCCTGCGTCTCCGTCGTCCCCTTTCCCTGCACCCTCATCTTCAAGCCTGCCAGCGAGAGAAAAACGTAGCAACGTTTTTCTCTCGCTGGCAGGCCCCAAGGGGAGGGATCAAAGGGAAGTCCCTTCCCTTTGATCCCTCCCCCGCCGAGGGGGGGGAGGCGTCTTGGGGGGGGTCTGGGGGGGGTCCCGGGGAAATCCTGGGGGGGTCCCGGGGGGGGGTACACGCATCCGCCCCTGGGCGTCCCGGAGCTCCAAAAAGCACCAAGACGCGCCAAGAGGGCCCCAAGCAGGCCCAAGAAGAGGACCACGAACGGACATTTCGAGCTTCCCGCCCCAAGAAGCCCCCGGAAGGTCCCAAGAGCCCCTCAAGGGACCCGAAGAGGCCCCCAAGAGACCCCCAAGAGGCCCAACAGAGGCTCCAACAGGCCCAAAACATCCAAGAGGCCTTTCAACCACAACCCCAGCACGGTGGCGGGAAGGGCCGCAGGCCACAAGGCTCCCTGTCTGTCTCTGCTACGACTCCCACATCTCCTTCGCCTTCTCCTACTCTCTTCCACCTTTATCCCCCTCCTCCTCCTCCTCGTATTCGTCGTCGTCGTCTACAGGGTCGGCGGCACCGGCCGTAAGGCCTTAGCAATAGTCAAACGCTGATGAGAAATAGTCAAAAAAGCAAGAACAATCGTTACTATGCTAATCCCACGAGCCCTCTGGGCGTCGGTGGTTTAGAGAGTTGCCTTTTCCACCCCTCCTTCTTCCCCTTCGGGGAGGGGTTTACCCCTCCCCCTACCCCCTGCCCATGGACCTGGACAAAGGGGTTCGCGAGGTGTCGGAGCGACCAAAACGGCCTCGGCGAGGAAGCACAAACCATTGGTTTTACGATGGTTTTGGCCCCATTTCGGCCTCTTGGGGGGGGACGCTAATTATGACCCCTTCTCTTGTTTGATCGATCTCCTCCAAGATGGCCCCAAGAAGCGCCCAGGAGGCCCCAACAGGTCCTGAGATGGCCCCAAGATGGCCCCAAGAGGCCCCCAAGAGGCCCCCAGGAGGCCCCCAAGAGACCCCCAAAAGGCCCCAAGCGACCCCCAGAGGCACCCAAGATGCTCTAAGAGGCCTCGGCGAGATTGCCAAATCATTGATTTTACTCAGGTTTTAGCCACATGCTGGCCTCTGGGGGGGGGGGGGGGGCACTGATTTGCTGACTCAAAGAGCGCCTGGGAGAGCCCAAAATGACCTCCAAGATGGCTCAAGATATCCCAAGATGTCTCATAATGGCTTCCTCTGTGTGCTGCCCGCTTCCCTGATCGAGGCAAGTCCTCTGGGCATCGTTTCTGGATCGGCTGGTGGGGATTTGCGAAGCGTCAACAATTTCTTACTATTCTTGAATATTCCCCCTGTAGAAAGACATGCCCGATTTAATCCTAGAAATTCGCGCGGGCCCTCAAACAATTGCGTTGCTGCCGCTTTTTCTTCTGCGGCTCTCGCATCCCGGCAATGAGAGCCCGAGCGCGTCTTCTCGGCACGCTCGGCACGGGCCCGGGGAATAGGGGCACAGTGCGGAACCGCAGCTGCTGCCCCAATCCGTCAGCGGCCGCTGTTGGGTGAGCGACTTTCTGTCTCAAGCGGACATCGCCCGTGGCGACGCCGACAAGAATCTCTGTTTGTCGTCCCCTGTAGCCGGGAAGCGTGCACGTAGGACGTTTCGGAGGCCCGCATGGATGTCTTGGATCGGTGCTGGGCCCCCCACTCTGGCGTGCGGAGCGCGCGCCATGGGCGGCGCCGGAAGCGCCGCTGGGGGGGCTCCAGCGCGGATCCGAGCAACGCGCGCGAACCTCCGAAAATTGTCAGTACCCATCGGTCGGAAGAAGTAGGTAGAAACATCAAGTAAGAAAACGTTGAAAATAAGTTAGGTTCCGTCCGCCCCTTTGGGAGGACGGAAAAGGTGATGCCACTCGATCATTGAAGTAGGAAGGCGCTTGATGTGCATTGGAATCTGGCATTCCAGCAAGTACCTACTTTCAACGGCCGATGGGCACTTGTTCACTGGATTATTTCCGTGCCCGTGTCGACCGTAGCGTTAAGTCGGGCGTGTCCCCCTACAAGGGGATTTTCGACGAAAAACAAAAAGTATGCAAAAACAACATCGAACTATTTTTTGGCTACTTTTGAATCTTCCCCCCGTAGAGGGACAGGCCCGACTCAACCGTAACGACCTTCGGCCCTGAGGCCGCCGCGGCGACGGCCAGACCGGGCGCGCCCCAGCTCCAACGCGGGCGGCGGCGAGCTGCGAGCTCTTGGCGCGGCGTGGGGGCCCCCGCAGGGCGGGCATGGGCTCAGGTCGGGCATGTTTCCCTACAAAGGGATTTTGGGCGAAATATCAAACATACTCAAAACAGCACTCAAGAAAGAGTCAGAAAATGCGCCAAAGAATCGTCCCCAGAGAATTTTTGGACTATTTTCGAATCTTCCTCCTGTACTCATACAAGAATGCAGAAGCAGGAGTTCGTGCCTTGCTCTTCAAAGACGCAAAGCAGCACTCCAGAAATAGTCCGAAAATGCGCCCACAAAATGGTCCCCAGAGAATTCTTTGAGCCATCTTCGAATCTTCCTCCTGTAGAGGAACGCGCCCGACTTCCACTCGGGCCAGCATCGCCAACGTCGGCAGCGAGGCCCCGGGCCAGGCGGCGGAGGCCTGGAGCGCCCACGGCCCCGGCGGGGGCAGCGCGCACGGGCGCGCGAACCGCACGGAGGGCTTGGGCCAGCATCGCCAACGTCGGCAGAGATGACGAACGAACAACGCACACCCATACCCATAGGGAGGTCGGAGGGAGAGGGACTGGCTATGGGTATGGGTGCGGGTTGTCGGACCCCTGGGGAGGCTCCCGTTCGAGCGGGGACCCCTATCCGCCAACACACACCCATAGCTCATTCCGTCTCCCCTATGGGTATGGGTGCGTGTTGATCGTTCGTCAAGAGAGGGCTCGGGCCAGCCGGCGAAAGCCTGGAAGGCCCCACGGCCCCGAAGGGGCTACGCGCACGGGCGCGCGAACCGGTGGCAGTGCGCGCCGTGAGGCGCGCGCGCGGAGAGCGCGCGGGCACGCCGGTGGGAGATCGCGCGGGCGCGCGGGCGAAGGGCTGCCTCCGAGTTCCCACGAGCAGGACGGGAGGAGGAGGAGGAGGAGGAGGAGGAGGAGGAGGAGGAGGAGGAGGAGGAGGAGGAGGAGGAGGAGGAGGAGGGGAGGAGGAGGAGGAGGAGGAGGAGGAGGAGGAGGGAGGAGGAGGAGGAGGAGGAGGAAAAAGAAGAAGAGGATGAGGAACATGATGAGGAGGAGGAGAGGGAGAGGAGGAGGAAAAGGAGGAGGAGGAGGAAGAGGAGGAGGAGGAGGAGGAGGAGGAGGAGGAGGAGGAGGAACTGGGCCCATGGAGCCCCTGCTGTGGACGTCCATCTGCTCGGCGCTGCCATCTCAGGCGTCGCCGAAGAACGCGGCTGACCTGACATGTTGGCATGGCCTGCTTCTTTATTAAAAACTCATGTTTTGTTGTTTTGTTGTTTTTGTTTTTGTTTGATATGTTTATGTATATGTTTACAAAGAGGCGTTTGCGCCTGGTTTCGGGCCCGGGGGCCCTCACATGTCGATCTGACTCGGGAAATGGTGTAGGCAGGGCTCCGGTGGTGATTTGCGATGTTGTCATCTTCCATCGTCAGATCTCAGGGTGTACCAACGTCGACGGTTTCGTGGTTTGCCCATCGCTGCATCTAGCTGGCGATGCGAACGCCGCTGAAGAAACTCTTGCGCTTGTTCGCAGTTGAGCGGGGTGCGAGCTCGGCTTGGCTGCTGGTAGCCATGGCGAGCAAACCAAACTCGCGTTGTCTCAGTCAGGCGGCGAACGAAAGGGGGAAGTGAGAAGGGGCGGGCCTTCTCAGAAGGCTCGGAAGCCCCCGAGCCTTCTGAAAAGTTGCCCGAGCCTTCCCCGAAGACAATGACAACTTCTCAGAGGGCGCGAGGGTTTTTGAAAAGTCCCACCGCCTTCTGAGAAGGCCTTCTCTTTCTCACTCCCCCCCTCGCTCGCCGTCGACCAGTGAGAGCTGTGGTGTAGAGGTGGAAGCAAGGCGCCCCGCGGCATTCCCAGCGGGGTGCCCTGCTACGGCGAGCTGGCCCCCAGCTTCGAGCTGCGCGCGGCGGCGCAACAGGAGGGCGGCGCGGGCCTAAATGTTAGCCGCGCGGGCTAAGTGACCGATGCGATGGCCAAGCGCTAAGCAAGGGGCATTTGCTTGCGGCATCGCGACTCCGCAGGGGCGCCCTAGCTCGGCGTCGCGGAACGCTTGCGAACGATCCACGAGCCGCCCTGCACCTCGGTGATTTACTGCGTAAACAGCGCGGCCCGCGAGCGGGAATCTTTTCGGAGCCTTCGTGGAACTGTCGAACCCCAAATCAGGCAGAGGGGGGGGTCCCCGAACGGTCATGCCCCGCGCCCGGGTGCGCGCCCGCTCTGGGGCCGCCGCAACAGTCGGCCGAGTTCCAGGTGGAGTTGGCGAGCGAGGTTCGCGAGGGGAGGGGCTTGCCAGGGCCCGCTCCGCCAGGCGCGCGCGGGCGCGCTCGCGCCGCCCCCCCCCATCTCTCATTTGCCTTCTGCTGCGGGGCTCCGCGCGTGATGCCCGGCGCAGTCGCGGGGCGCCGGCCCGAAGCAGAGCTGGCGGTCGGTTGCTCCTGCGAGGCGCGCCCGCCGAG